CATGTGCTGGCACCTAACCTGCGAATGGGCATACTCTGGTACGAGATTGCACTTGAGACGGAATGGTTTTATGAAGTACTGTTTCACTTCGTTATTTTCATTTTGCGGTGGCGTATTTCGTTAATTTAAGCCCGTGTTCCACTACGTGAATTTGTTCGCGCGATCGAAGCGACTTTTCCCTTTGGCAACATCACTTTTGCTGACGTGTGCGCAAACAAATTCGCCTAGTGAGTAGTGGAAAACAGGCTAATCTACTTTCCTCCAACCCAACTAAACGGGTAACGTGGGGTGAATAGGTATAACGAGGGGTTACCATTACGAAAGGGGATGGACGAGAAATAGGTGACCGCGAGAGGCGCGCGGGCTAGTGCAGTGGCGTGCTGGCAAAGGGGGGGGGGGCGCTTCCTAAAATCTTCGGCTTGATTTTGTCCGCATTCTCTGTTTATTTTTTAAAGAGTCCTGGTCAACCACAATGCAATGCGTGCGTTTGTTTACGTTTCTGTTACGTTGTGGCCACTTGTGGGCCAGAGGCAGCCATTTTGTGTGGCCTCGAAAATGGCAGCAACAATTGATAAAAGTAACGGGAAAACGTAAACAAAAGTGCGCATTGCATTGTGGTTGACCAGGACTCTTTCAAGACTGCCAAAGATTAATAACAATAGTTTCCAGTGATACCGTATCCCCTATTTAAGAATAACTTAATACAGTGTATTAGAATACTTTGGCGGCTGTCAAGGCGCTGTTACACTAAGCAACTTGTCTCGGAATGTAATCAAGCAAAACGATTTCAGCATTGTATATTGCAAGCAAGCTTTCGTGGTTAGGGATGCAACTATCTGAAAAATACAAAGCGAAATTCGACGTTTCGAGCGAAAATTGCTGAGTTGCATATTGCAACAGGGCCTTTATACAAAGGAGGCATGAAGGCATATATTTTAATTTTCTAGTGTCAGTGGAACGTTTTTGCCATGTTACACTTTGAAAAACATGTTACTTCTTTCATGAATTTCCATTCCAATTGTGTTTTTTTCGTTAAAATTTCTAGTTTGTTTGGTTGCAGTTTGAGACTCTTTGCTTTTGGTATCAAAATCAGATAGCGCTAACCATTATTTGCTAAAAATCAGGGGGGGCGAACAGGGGGGGCTAGGGGGGCTAAAGCCCCCCCCAGAAGTAAAAAAAAAAATTTCTGGAAAAATTGTGATAATTAAGGAAAAATTTAGGTAATTTTTTGAAAATTTAGGTATAAGGGGAAAAATTTGCAATATTTTGTTAAAAAATTGTGTATGTTGGGAAAATATTTTTGTTATAGGTCCGGAAAAAAATTTTCGTCCCTTTTCTTGTATATGTCCGGAAAAAAATTTGTACCCCTAAAATGGTACACTGACCGAAATTTGTTTGGGCGACGGGGGAGGTCTGGAAAAATTTAGCCCCCCCAAAATGAAATCTGTTCCGCCGCCCCTGCTAAAAATGCACATATGCATGTTTGTAGATGCAAGGCATATTTACTAATATGTTAATATTATATATCCAGCTTAATTTTCGTTTTAATTAAAAAATTCGTGCTACCAATGCCATTTGAATACAAATATTGAAAACAAATTGGTACAGAAATCTGAAACTCAAAGAGTATCCTTAAAGATATATAAGGAAGTGTTTGAATACATACTTTAAATATTTATTACTACTGTTATTAATAACAGAGTCTCTCAATAGCTACATGCCTAATTTTGACATGCCACATTACTCATTAACGTTTATGTGTTGTAGATCATGACAGGTGTGTGTTACACAAGAAATCGAAATTAGAATTACGTTTGTACAAGGATAGCCCAAAGTAAATGTGGCGGGGAAATTAATTAAAGTTCATTCCATATAAGGGAAGCCTCACATATCGATTTTTTCCACGAGAAACGTCATATGTTCGTTTGGAG